ATGACTAAATACCGAAGGTGCATGGAACGCTGTTCCCTTCCCACCAAAGGTGGTCCCTATTTTTCTACTTGCCTTTTTACGTGCTTTCGAACTGCTAGGTTGGCAGAAGCTGGGACAAGTCACGGGAGCTCGCTCCGTTATGCAGCGCTAGGGATTCGAACCGCTGGACTTTCTAATCGACAAGCTGAGTGTCTTAGCCACTGAGCCACTGCGTCCCTGATTTTGCACTACTTGTGTTAAGAGGCATGGATTCAAATAAGTTTCAGAGACCTTGGGAGATCCTTTCGAGTTTCAGCCTCTTCAAACAAAGCTCAACCACAACCTGAATAATCCATGAACTGTCCAATAAATATAAAACTTCTCTCCGGTATAAACGTCCATGAAGGTTCTTGGGCATCCAGGGTCACAGTTGTATCAAAAGTGGTTTTATTTATTTATTTATTTATTTTCACTTCACAAGCGCAAGGCACAACATAGGGGATCTCACCCAGAGTTCCCCAACCGTTATTGGTTGGTGGCCCAACCAATGGAAGAGGAGGGGCAGGAACAGTGGTGAAATTCATTTTTTTTTTACTACCGGTACTGTGGGTGTGCCTTGGTGGTGGGGTCCTGTGACTGAGTGGGCGTGGCCAACTTCATGTCGCTCATGGCCACGCCCATACAGTCACATGTTCCCCTCCAAGCCACGCCCACAGAACCCGGTAGGAAAAAAATGTGTGTAATGTGAGTCCATTCACAGCAGACCTGCTACTCCCTCCCCACCATGCCCTCCCTCTGCTGTGAATGGAGGGAGAAATGTTTGGAATGGGTGGGTGGGTCGAGTGCCCGGAAGAGGTGAGCGGCATTAGGGCAACCAGGCGGACATGGGCGAGGCCACCAGGGATTTTTGTCACTGGTTCGAAGAACTGATGCCAATCGTCCCTGCCAGTTCATCCGAACTGGGCTGAACCGGGAGTATTTCACCCCTGGACAGGAGCCTTTACATGCGCATGTGTACATGTGAATGCAGCCACAGACATCTGCATGACACCCATGGCAATGCTAGTGTGAATGGAGGTGTGTGCGCATGTACACACAGCCACTCACGTTGCCCTGTGGCCAATAGGTAACAGCCCGGTAAGGTGCCATGACTCACAGGTTGGGTGACTTCTGATCTAACCCATCAGGACAAGATTCAGCAGTCCGTGTGTGTTGGAAAGATAAGGGTCACACTTTTGAAGACAGCAAAGTCCACATTTTGGATAGAGAGGACCATTGTTTTGAAAGGGAGGGGGTCAAAGTTCAAAGAGTCAATCTATGTTAGAATTGAACAGCTCTCCCTCTATGGGGGAGGTATTTGACACACACCCTTATCCCCAATTTACAATGCAGCCCCTTTGGCTGTTCCAAGGTGAGTCCACACCTCTCATTCAAGTGACCTTGAGATTACAGAACCCCCAGAATCTTTCCATCCCACCAACATCTAGAATAGAGTAGAGTAGAACAGAACAGAACAGCTGGAAGGGACATTGGAGGTTTAGATTTTTAGATTTTAGATTTTATTAATATTTGTAGGCCGCCCTTTTCCCTGAGGGGACTCAGGGCGGCTCACATAAAATCAGGGAGGGGGNTAACCCTTACCTTAACTGAAATCACACTTTTGTGGGTGCGGTTTTGTTGGTGCATTGTTGTGGGCGTGTTTATGACATCACGGTTTTCGCACCGCGGTTTCGTCGGCGCGCTTTTGTCATGCGCGCATTTGTCGAGTCACGTGAATTTGGGCACTCAGTGCTGAAAAGGTTCATCCTCACTGATCTAGAATGTGCTGTCCACATTCGTATGTCTGGACCATTTCAAATCACTCCAAAAGTTTAAATATTTTTGTAAAAGTCCTACAACTAGCCTGTTTTGGCTGTTCTACCAGATTGAGGATTGCGGTTGATTTTCTGCCTATGTTTGATCTATTGCTAATCATAGAAGTGTGTATATATATATAATTGCTTCTTTCAATGGTATAATTAAGTTATATGGTTTCCCCTTCTGGTTTCCTGCCTTCCTTGGTGGGAATGGGTTTGGGTGCGAGGAGCTGCAGGGTAATGAGACCAAGTCATGCCCTGAGCATTCCTAAACAGCACAGAGAACGTCAAGGAAGATCTTGGGGACCGTGGTTTTCAGTTGTGGTCATGTGTGCCTTTTGTCATCTAGTGTCAGTTGCAGTTTTCCAATCCATTCACACATTACTGCTTCCCAATTTCCCTCCACTGAGCTCCCTTCCAGATTGGAAGTGTTGAGTTCCCCGTCCATTCACACAATATTGCTTCCAAACTTCCCTCCACTTAGCTCCCTTCCCTCAAACCTTGTAAGGTTTGAATTCCCCATCCATTCGCACATGGTTGCTTCCCAATTTCCCTCCACCGAGCTCACTTCCAGATTGTAAGGTTTGAGTAGAAATCAAACACGGATAATCTAAAGCGGAGGATCTCCAAACTTGGCAACTTTAAGACACTTGTGGACTTCAACTCCCAGAATTCCCCAGCCAGCCATAGTAGCTCGAGCTCAATCAGATGTTTTACAGGATCCCTTCTGATTGTTGGGCTTGCTAAGAGTTGACATTGACATGGCAACACCTAATGAAATCAAAGGGGCATCATGACTCAGCGGTTAAAGACACTGAGCTTGTCAGCTGGAAAGCTAACAAGCCCGGGTTCAAGATCCAAGTGTCATACAATGGGATGACCTCCCGTTCCTTGCTCCAGCTCCTGCCCAACCTAGCAGTTCAAAAGCATGTAAACGCAAGTAGATAAGTAGGTACCACTTTGATGGGACGGTAGCAGCATTCTGTGCACTATAGTGATACTAAGCACATGACTACGGAAATATCTTTAGACAATGCTGCAGTGGTGGGTTTCAAAAATTTTTGGAATCTACTCTGTGGGTGTGGCCTCCTTTGTGGGAGTGGCTTGCC